CTAAACAAAAATCCATGGCATAAGGAGAGAAGTTGCCTATCCACACTGGACCTTGTCCACATGCTTTTTTCTGCAGCTGCGTGCAAAGGATCTTTCAAAATTATCCACCTATCTATGGATAGAGAAATTAGGTGAACCACTTTAACAGGTTTCTCCAGGGAGAATAGAAGTTATCCAGTGGTTTCTCAGCAGTGCCACTCACCATTTATTAGTTTTTCTATCTTAATATCAGTCTTTTGCTGGTAGAAGGTCCATGTCAGACTTGACGTTTCTGGGCTCACTCCTACACTCTGCCAAGACTGCCACTGCCCAAATCCCGGGCTGCAGCAGGCCCTGAGTGGTTATGTGCACTGATTTCTTTCGAAATTGCCTGCATCTACTTTAAAACAAAATCAGTTAGAGATCTTTTTTATAGAAATAGAAAAGAGGTTCCTATTATGGAAAAGAAAGGACAAAAGCTGTTGAGACTTGTTATCTTCCCAGGCACATCCAAGAGGGAGCGTCATTTCCCCCTCTTTTCCAACAAGCACCTCTCTGCTGGGGAACATGCTCCCTGTTATTTTCAAACTCAGAAATGGCACTTATGTTTCATTTCTTGCTTTTAACTTGTTACCATGGCACCCCTGTCCCTCTCTCTTGTGCTGAGTATGTGTGTAGGTATGGGTGCTCTCCCACATGTGTTTGTGTGCAAGGGCTTTGCTGGTGTAACAAGGGACACGTCTATGCTTGCCACTGTTTGTGGCATGACTGCAGCGGCAGCCAAAGGCAGCAAGGTCTCGGAGAGCGAAAAGAAGTCGAAAGCAAGGTACTTACTGAGCTGTGCTGAGCTCGTCTTGTTAAGAAAGGCGAGGATCAGGGGGCAGCAGCCTTAAAGCAGAGGAACGGAAGCAGTGCCAATGGAGCTTGTGGGAAGCTTTTCCACGCATAAAGCGGTTAAGCGAGGCTGCTATCCTGCACTCAGTTAATGCACAGTTAAGCCCTGTTGGAAGAAATTGGATTTGCATGTTACACAGAAGTGACAGCAGGATTTTAGCCAGCAGGGGATAGCCAAGTGGGAAGGAAGGAAGGAAGGAAGGAAGGAAGGAAGGAAGGAAGGAAGGAAGGAAGGTGATGCATCTTCCTTCACAAAATGCATCCTTTATCTGAAGGGCTGCCCTGCCCAATTCCAGTCTAAAGATAAAGAACTGTAGAAATGGCTACCCATCAGCAGTTAGCAACTGAGTGGGCAAGCACCTGGGTCACCTGTTCACAGTTTTCTATTTGACAGCAAGATGTGCCATATTTCTATTTAAATTAGAATAATTATTTCTAAATTTGCATTTATACATACCCATTAGCAGCACCTGCAGATCTTGTACAAATTGCTGTCCTCTGTTTTGGCGAGGCAAAAAAGGATGGCCTCCCACTTTTAATGTTTCATAAGTGGACCTTGGAGGTCTCACCAGGACTGCTGACAATCTGTTTGCAAAGCTGGGGGTCCCAGAAAGAAACCTGTGAATAAATGGCAGTTCTCCTGAGCAGGTGTAAAGGGTATATTCTTCACCAGTGCCGAGAGCTTCCATGGATCAAGAATTAGGAGGAAGGACCACCAGATCTGAGGGGGAAGGGATGGTTTTTGTTGGGTTATTTAAAGCAGTATGAACAAGCTCATCAAGGCACTTTACAAACATTCAAACAAAGGAAAGTTTCCCAGTAAAAACCAAGATTGGGCATCTCTTTTGCTTGATATCATGTGCCAATGAGGCTAATTCTCGGACTACGTAGCTTTCAAGGAGGGTTAAAAAACTAGTTCTCATGTTTGTGTTTGACTCTAGAGCTTTAAGAAAGGATCACAGAAATGAGGGCATCCTGACTCTTGAACCCTGTGAATCTTGGGAACTTGAGGAGTGTGTCCATGAGATAAGGAGAGATTGTGTGACCAGATGCTGTGAAGGGTGAAAGCGCTTGCTTCACTGTATCATCATGCCTTGCCTGAGCCCGGCTGCCTTTCAAAAGAACTTAAATGATCATCTGATGGAGGGGATACTTGGATTACACACTGACTGGCTCCATTATTGTCCATGAGCCCCTAGGCTGCACATTTGAGAAAGGTCAGGCATGAAAAGAAGGGGTGGGAAAGAGAACCAAAAAGAGATTTTCTTAAGTCCTTCTCACTGGTGTAGAGAAAACCTTCGCCCCACCCTTGGCTAACAAGGCCATAGTCGGGTATATCCACAGGCAACCACAAATCTCTGCCTTCAGCATATCACTGAAAACTGCTCAAACTGCAAGGCACTCCTGATGCATCCACTGGTGGTTCTGCCATGTAGGAGGTGACACAACCATCCCACAGCAGTTTTGGTTGCCATGACATGCAGCGTAGTGAGAGGTCTGACAGATGCCTCAGAGTGTAAACATCCAAGTATCTAGTCATCACCAGACTTTTAAAAACCTGTCTCTCAGGTGTTTGCCTGTGTAGAGGGAGTACCATGTTAATTTCCCACAATGCCCTGGGGTGCCTCCTGATTTGGGGGCCCAGGAAAACAGTGAAGGTGATCTCTGTGGGAGCCCTGGAGCTCTGGCATCTCCCCAAAGATGTCACCTAGTAACACCAGCTCTAAGAGCAATCACCATAAGAAAGCTCTGTTGTACTGAACAGAACATCCTTCTTATTCAACACCCTGCTATCCATGCTGCCTAACCAGATGCCAAGAGGAAGCCTGCATGGAAGGCAAAAGCCCTTCTCCATGGGGGCCTTTCCAACAGCTGGTGTTCAGAAGCCTCTGACTATGAGAGTTCCTTTCAGTTATCATGACTAATAGCCAATGGTCCATAGCTTTGTCTTAATTAGCCCATGCTCCACTTCATATGCTTCTGAATCTGTGGTCATGGGTGTGTGTGTATGTGTTTGTATTCCACATTGCTGCTGCTCATGTGAGATGATTCACAAGGAAATTATTCTGTACAGCTCTCATTGAATGGAATGGGAACCGTGTAAAAGCAAGTCACAATTAAGTGAAGCTATTAAACTAAGTCTTGTAGCAACATGGAAAGCTTGATATGCCCTTTCAAACAGAGAAGAACTGGCTTTGGTTCATTGACTTTAGCAGTCCAACATGCCTTCCAGTAATTCTTCTTTGTTTGGTCATGCCTATTTAATATTTGGTGATTCATAGGCTGGTGACTCAGAAATGTGTTTGTACCACCACTGTTACACCAGTAACAATGAAGTAGTGGAGTGAGCCATAAACAGGATACAAATGCTATCTCTTTTTACTCTTCCATATCATCCCTGATCACTGGCCTTTTAGCATAACTCTTTCACTGAGTTATGAATGAATTGTAAAGGTTGTTAAATAGACTTCATTCTAAATGATGTTTCCTATCTCAGCTTGCTTACTGGGAGGCTTTGCTGTCAAAATGATCTGCCTTGGAAGCATAGGATGCCAAACATGATTTGGAATTAAGAATATCTGAGGAACGCAAAACGAGCCAGATACCTGTGCATGAAACAGAGCTACAAAGTGGTCGCTTGGCATCTCCCGTGAAGGAGCAAATGCACAGCTTGGTAGTATTTCTGGATCCATCATTGTCCCTAGAGGCTCCAGTGGCCTCCATGGTGTGAAGTTCCTTCTACTAGCTTCAGTTGGTAGTTCAGCTGCAACCCTGGGAATGGCCTACCATCAGTGGTCCATGTTCTGGAACTTCTAAGTTAGGTTGGTGCAATGTATTTTATGTTGGAGTACCTCTGAAGAAAAATTGGAAGCTATGGTTCGTGCAGAACTCAGTGTCCAGTCATTTGACTGGAATTATGCAATGTAAATATATAAACTTGGTCTTGGTTTTCTTCTAACTGGGTCCCAATTTGTTTGTTGGTTAAATTCAGGATGTTGGTTTTAATTCATAAAACCTCACATGGCTTGGGACTCCAGTGCCTCAAGGACCTGTATGAGCTCACCTCGTCCCTGAGATCAGTTACAGAAGTTCTTTGTGCGCCATCTTTGAAAGAAGCTCAGAAGGAGTTTGCTTGAAAACAGGCCTTTATTGTGGTGAACTCATGATTACAGACTACTAGTCTCAGAGAAGCTTGTCTGGCACCAGCACCACCACCTTTTCAGTGCCTTCAAAATCGTACCCAATTTACCAGGCATTCAGTCATTAGTTACAGCCCTAAGGTTTTGTGATGTGCCCTTTTTTCTATTTCCAGGCTGGTTATTGGAAGTCTTGGGGTTTGCAACTTTCTGATCCTCAGTGAGTCTAATTCACTTAACTCATACGCCTCATTTATTGTCAGGACTATCTTGGGACCTACACAATTTGCAACCTGAACCTACAGCCTACCATGTGCTTGGGTCATCTGGGGGCTTGATAATGTCTCCTTTTTGGGAGGTAGCAAAATAGGGAGTGATATCAACTCTGTGATGGGCCAACAACCACAGATGTTAGGTTGTAGTATGTTAGGTGGGTTTCATGTCAGGCACAACTGTCATCAGACATTTATGGCCAACCATCCTTGTTTGTAGCTCTTCAGAAGCTTAAAACTTCCCATCAAAAGGAAGAGGAAGCAAGCAGGTACAGGGAACAGGCAAGTGCTTGCAAAATTGGAACTGGGTGGTGGCAGTGACTGTGTCCCAGAATTTATGGGGATGGTATCTGTGAAATGACCAGGGGCAGTTAGGCTTGAAAATGGCACTTTTCTGACAAAGGGGCAGAATAACAATAGTTTGAAGTGGTGCAACTCTGAATAATTGTAACTCTTTCCTTTGGAAATCTTCCAGAATGACTCTGAGACTTAAGGTTAAAAGTTTAGATGAAGCCAGGCATCCTGAGCTCAGCCCTTGGATCCAGAGAAGTGCTGACATTTCCCTCTTGGGAGAACGGAGGTGCTGGCTCCTGGAAAGTGCTGCTCACAGCAAAGCTATAAAAAGGAGAGAGCAAAGAAAAGGGATAGATGATTGGAAATTATATAAAATGGCTTAAATAGCCTTTTGCTGATGATAATCTTCTCTCCCTTAATGCAGGTGCATTGTTGATAATCGAGTGACTAGGGTTGCCTGGCTCAACCGTAGCAGCATTCTTTATGCTGGCAACGACAAGTGGTGCTTGGACCCCCGGGTGGAGCTCATCGCTAACACCAAAACCCACTACGCCATCCGGATAAATGCCGTGGACGTGTATGACGAAGGGCCGTACACCTGCTCTGTGCAGACTGACAATCATCCAAAGACTTCTCGAGTCCATCTTATTGTGCAAGGTAAGGATTCAAGGATGTCTGGTTGGTCCTCTAGAGTGGAGGATGTTGTACATAAGCCGCGTGCAGCTATGGAGGGCCCTTCAGATAAAAGATAATGGCCTCCATTCTACTCCTATATGGGATTTAATCTCTTCCAAACTGACAACAGGCATTTCCTCACAGAACCTGTAGTGCCAACTGTTTGAGTCTTTGAGCAACTGGGTATTCCATGATGCCACAGTTGGTGTCAAAGGCCCCACCTTCTCAAGCACCCTGTAGATTCCACTGGATGAAAGGTGGAGTATTCCATTTACACAGTGTTTTCTTGTCCCGATGTGAGATCAAACACAGAGGCACACAATTTGTTAGGTAAAAAGAAAGAAAAAGAAAAGAGAAGACTCATAAACAATGAGCAACAAGAAATTCAGATTAATTTTCAGCTCTATTAAGGTGCACACAGAAAAGCATGGGGAACATATTTGGAGAATGCTGCACTCCTAGAGTTGCAGTAGGCTTTGGAGCAAGTATTAATGGGGGGGGGGGATTCTAATCCCTTTGCCGTCAGCCTTCTCTGGAGGAGTTGGCAGGAGCCCGCTTCGCATGGCACACCAGCTTGAGTATTGGAATCCCATCTCGGGCTAATTTTCAAATGCTGATGGGTGTATTGATTTGGAAACAAGCTGGGTTAAGAAAGGCATTGGTCTTGTACACCAAGTCGACCTGAGCTAATCCGCTGTCGATAGGCTGGGGCTGAGCATTATTGACAGACTAATGAATAGGAAGCCAACAAAAATTCAGGGCTCTCCCCCCACCCCTTCCCTTCCTTTCTTTCCTCCCCTTAATGCAATCAAGAAAAATAAATAGAGCGAAATCCCCCTCCCCTCACTCTCTCGATTGCTCATGAAACAACTCCAACAAGAAAAACAAAACCAAAAAGGTTGGTGGATGCATTATGAGCCTGGGCATTTTCTGTTTGTCTTTCCGATTTTTATTACCTGTCCACATTTCTTAAATCAAAGCCAATCATATGGAAAAAATGTCAAAGCTGAAATCAGGAAGCTGAAGAAGTGTAATTATATCAGATCCATCCTCATGCTAGTGCTGTATTTCCTGACCTAAATTCTTGATATCCTCTGGTATTTAAAATCAATTCTACCCATTTGCTATCCCTCCCACTTCTTCATCTTCTGTTCGTCTACTGTGGAAGGAAGATATCTCGTTTCCACGAAAGAGCAGTACTTTCTGTCAGTGAAAGCATTACCAGATCTTGTTCTTTTATGGTGCAAGCTACACCGTCATCCAAACTGGAAGTCTCTCTTAACTTCTTTGAAGTTAATTGGAATTGGGAGGATTCAGAACATGGTAGATTCTAGGAAGGGCTGCATATGGAGTGTGTGTTTTAAAAGTTGGTCGATAAACTACAGCCATCTCTGGGGCAGACTGAGAGAACCATGGAACAGAGCAAGGCAAAACGAATTTGCTAAGACAGGATGTTAATAAAAGTTTGGGTTGAATTCTTCATGCACAAGGGCTGCCATGATCTGCAGCAGACACATAAAGAAGCATGCATGCATGCATGTATGTATGTTGGAAGAGCACACCATGCTGGTGGTAGAAATGAAAGTGTTTGTGACTGCATGTACTGCGGGTATTGATGCCTTCCAACATTCCATAGAGGAAAATGTATGGTTTTCAGAGCAAAGATTACTGTGTCAACATCACATACACCAACACACACACAATTATGCATTACTGAAGGCACTGTTTTGTTTGTTCTGTGCCGTATTCACTTCCTTCGCAAAGACTTGTCCTGCAGTGATATATAAAAGAAGGCCCCTGTTCTATTGGCTAAAGATATTCCAGGGGGTAAGGAGAAATAACAACCGTTCACTGTTCCAAAAATGTATCTCACCATCTGCAGCATATGAAATACCAAGCCATGCTGTGCACCACATGCCTTCTCAATGGCTGTGTGCATACATTACAGGATGAACTGAACTGCCCTCTTGCCCCCATTTGCCTGCCCCACTTGCTGGCACAGGGTGTCCTTTTTGCTCTGGCAGGCCACAAAATTCAGCAGAGCTCTTGCTGACTCCTCTCTGCTTCCAGGAATGTCCAGTTCCTCAGAGCCATGCAATATCAGGCAGTAACACTGTTCTGAGAAGCATTCTGGGGAAAAAATGGCAGCTCCTCATTTCTCCTGCTCCTGCTGCTTTAGGTAGCTTGCCAGTATGTCGGGGAGGAGAGACACTTTCATTTTTGAGAATTTACCGACTCCAAACTGCTGGCTTTTGGTCAACATTGTAAGCATGCTTTAGAGACCTCATCTCACTGTTACTTTAATTATGTAAACTCACCAGAGTTTGGGAATTAAAATGAGTTATTTAAATAAATGCATTTCCCATACGTGGAAGAAACTGCATATTCACTTTTTTCCACCCTTAATTTTGGCCATATGCCTGCCTTTCCCATGAAGGTTCAGTGGTAGAACAGAATTGCACAGAGTCCTAGAGTTGGAAGACCACCATTGAGTCCAACTTCCTGCTCTGCTCTTCTACATGTGGTCACCCATTGGACTGCATGCTGGCTTGATGGAATAGCTATGCTGGCAGGGTGCATGGAAGAGGGTCAGAACTCGTGAATGCCATTTCAGATCTTTGGTCCATATAACCCAGTGTGTTCTATCTCAGCCTTACCTAGCACTTTACAGTGGATAAGACCCATACTTCCCGTCAGCTCTAGCCAGCCCTCTCCCACCTAAAGGCGATGGGAGCAGTAAGTCAGTGCATCTTGACAACATCACCTTGGGGAAGGCTGGTTTGCAATCGTTGCCAGTAGCGCTCCAGTCTTCAGATGGGTCTCCTCGCTCCCTACCTATGGATGGAAACAAGGAGCTTCTGCATGCAAAGTAGTTGCTCTATGCCTGAGTTTTGGTCCTTCCCAGACAATGTGGGGGAAACCAAGGGTGTCTTTCCACACTCTCCTTCCAAGCTCCATTCAGCTCCATCCTATTCTAATTTGCAACCTGTTTTTCAATTGCTCAAATGGAAAATAAGGTGCATTTTGAAAAAGCAGCATTTGAGGTTAGCATTTTTCAAGTGCATGTTTATAAATGCATCAGGAGTTTATGAAGAAATTTAGAGGACATGCTCTCTGGTTCACATTCAGGGTTGTAACTAAGGGTCTTCCCCCCACCCCATTTATCTGTGAAAAAAAAAGTAGCAGAAAACATCCTTAGTGAGAATAGCAAGAGTAATTTTAGATCCTTCACTGCTTAATAACAGCAGCAGAAACACCTCTCTCTCTCTCTCTCTCTCTCTCTCTCACACACACACACACACACACACACACATTCAATTGGATAATCCAAGGCAAAGACATAGCCTGCTGTAATTGGAATAACCAAACTCTTCAGTGTAGTGCTAGCAGTGAGTCCAAGTGCTGTACAACTTCTAGAATCCCAAACCAAGTTGAAAAAGCAAACAAACATCCCCAGCCCCACCATTCTTCCACAAAGTCCTGTTTTTAATAAAACGCAGGAAGGACACAATCCTATGGAGCTGCCTGTAAGTCTCCCAATGGACATCCTGGGTGGGGTGGAAGCAAGACGGAGGTAATCTTTGCCTCTGTTCTCCTCTTGCCCATCACACCACTAGACAGCCAGTTCTACAGTGGCTGAAGCACTTGAGGTGGTGAGGGAATGAGGCTGATGTGCCATCAGAGCAGGCTGTATCCCGGTGGAACCATTTTCTCTTTCCACCCGCAAGAATGTCCTCTTTGCATGTTCTTGGGAGTTGGTCTCATGAGTTAAGAGAAGCAGCTGGCACAGTTCTTTCTGTGCCCATTGTGTGTCCAGTCAAGGACACAGGCAAGAGGTAGCTATGTCTGGAACCCTGGGACCAGGGTTCTGGAGAAGGATGTAGGGTTTTGCACGATACTGGAGACCTAGAGACAGCAGGAAAAGTTCAAATACATACTGATACCAGTGAGAAAAAGCAGGCTCAGATACCAACAGGTCAGGGGAGGTGCAGAAGGAAGGCAAGTTGAAGAGCAGTAAAAATCAGATACTGACAAGACATGGCAAGTCCAGAGGCAATGGCACTTGATGAGCTGTTAAGATACTGTGATGGGAGGGCGGGCAATCTGAGTGCAGATTCCTAGCTCCAAGGAGCTCTTCTCTGACCTGGAATCCAAAGCATTCTTTGGCCCTCTAAGTCTTGTGTTGGGGGCATATGGTCACTCTAAGGAGAATTTGAGCAGGGATGATAGGTTTGTAGAGGAAAAAGAGCAACAGAACACTCCGGGATCTGACCTAAAGTTTTTCTAGTCCTCTCATTCCTCTCATTATATTAACTCTGAAAGTGTAAGACTCTTTCAGCCTAATTAATCATTAATGATAAGGCAAAACGTTAATAAAGGCTTTCCATAGGGCCCTGTCTTTCAGCAAGTGAGACCACTGGTCCTTCTGGCTCTGTTGTGGTTCTCCAGGGTTTCAGGCAAAGATCTTTCTCAACTCTTCCTGGAGATGCTAGGATTAAATCCAGGACATTTTGCATAAAAACCGTGTGCTCTACTGCTTAAGTTTACCCTCACCAAAGGGGTGAAACTCCTTTGACTCCATGGAAACCCTGCCCGAGTACTGAACCTGTAATCTTCTGCACCAGAAGCAAGATTTGGGCCACTAGACCAACATGGTGGATGCTTCCAAGACAAGGCAGAGGACTAAGAAGGAGATAAAAGAAGGCATGGCACTCCATTCTCATACTGCTGCAGTACTCGTTCAGGTCTCCTTTAGACTCTGAGCAGTAAAGTTACAATTATGAAATCTGTGAAGTCATTTCTTTACAACCACTAGTTCACAACCCTCAGAATTTGGCAACAGCTACCAGATAGCTGTTTAAAAAGGGTGGCAAGGGGCAGGGGAAGTGTCCCATCACCGAAGTTGCCTCTTGTCCACGTGACCTGGGAAATTTCTATTGCCATGTTATGTGGGTCTAACAGGAATCCTGGCTGGCCACAGC